ATCCCTTTCTCTCTCAGCCCCGCACTGCTGTAAAGCAACAGAAGCGCTCATAACTAAATAACACAGCAGACGGAGCCAGCCGCCTATGGGCAGAAAGACAAAGCGCGAGGGGGTTGAATGGGGAGGCGCAAAGAAACATGATCAACCTGGGGACCGCTATTGGCGAGGGGCAGGAACGGGTGTCGCGTTCGCGTCGCGCCGAAATGGAGTTGCCCGCGGAAGCTCGCGCAACGACGTTTGGGTTGTTCTTTTTGTGCGTGCAGCGGGAGGACGTTCCTCACGCGCCAAAGGCAGTCACAAAAGGCGGATGACACGCGCACCCGCAAGCAGGCACGCACGCGCACGCACACGCACACACACACACACACACGCACGCGCGCACACACACACACACACACACACACACACACGGGTAATTGGACTAAAGCGGGCCAAAAGGCACGCTCCCCTCCCTGGCGCGCAGCCCCCCTCCCGCCCTCGCCGGCACACGCCAAAGGCACGCCGACACTGCTGCCTGCGCCTCGCCTCTCCTTGCTACCCCCCAATCTAACATGAAAGAGGAGGAAAATAAAAAGTCGCCAGCCATAGCGTCACGAGTTGACTCACCTTCGATGAGCTGATCCACCATGGCGAACACGTGGGCGTTGGCCTCGTCCGTCATGACCCAGCCGCCCGTGGTCATCTCCAGGCGGCCCTCCTCCAGCAGCTTCTTGACGGCGTGGCGCTTGGACGGGTGCGCGCTGAGGGACACAGACAGAGCAAATAACAATCAGAAAACACAAAAGGTGACAAGTCCTTCCTTTTAAAGGCACTAAAGGTGTAGTGCCCTTACAAAAGGACTATAACACATAACAGGCAAAGGCACTAACTTTTCGTGCCATTGGGGCTCTTTATAGTGCCGTTAAAAAGGCACAACACTGAAAATTGCTGTAGCGCCGGCCCCTGGAAAGGCACGACTTTGATTTTTCAGTGCATACGATTACTATTTCCAGGTTTTGTCGGTTGCAGCGACGCGCTGCTGCTTGGCTGAACCACGCGGTCTCAACCACTTATTCTGATTGTACGGCGGTATGAAAACGCGTCTCCGCGGTGCGGGGCGAGGATGGATGTGAAAAGAGGGGGTGGGGGGAAGTGATGAAGAGGGCGGTGCACAGCGGGCCTCCGCCGCACTCTCAACGCAGACAATAAACAGAATTAAAAAGAACCGTAAATACAACGGAGGAGCACAAAATAGCAACAAATCATTTTAATTCCTTCTGATGCTGTTTTTCGCTCCTAAAGCAATAATTGTCTAATTGGTCCTATCCTTGGTGGTCGAAAAATAAGTTGTGAAGGGGCTCAACGCAACAGCCCAACTGTTAAATTCTTGCAAAGCAAATGGTTTAGCAGAAGCTTTGCACATTGCAAAGCACGGTGAAAAAGGCCGTCTTGCAGAATCGGAGCTTTACCCATCCTCTCCACTGCCTGCAGGATGGGTCCTTTCCTGGAACACCGGTCAATCTGCTTGAAAACGGGAGCGCGCCTTTTTGGAAACCGGTGGTCTTTGCTTGGAAACTGAGCAATCTGCATGAAAATAACATTTTTGCTTGGAGCGAGATCATTTGTAATTGCGAAGCACTGCTTTGAAATAGCGAAGCACTGCTTTGAAATAGCGAAGCACTGCTTTGAAATAGCGAAGCACTGTTTTGCAGTTGCGAAGGACTGCGAAGCTATTGCGAAGCACTGCGAAACTATTGCTTTGATTGAAAAGACGCGAAGTATCCGTTCTCTCCGCAGCCCTACAGACCACGTGGACTTTTGACCTCGCCTTGTCGCACTACGCTCGCGGCAGTGCAGCGGGCTGGTCAAGGTTTAAACATCCCTGGCTCCGCCGTTAACACTCGTGTAGGTCGGTTGCGCACACAGGGAGTGGAGTGTTGGTCCGGGTAGGGCCTGGGCCGGGGGGAG